ATGTGTTCAAACGGTTTCACTGTGATTCTCCTGCTTTGTGTCAGTGGCATCGAGAAGCTTTAATATTTTCATTTATCGTTCGTCAGATTTGCTTAATATGACATTAAACTGCAAAATAACACCGCTGTGCAAAAATATGGAAATATGGGTGATACAGTATTGATAATGTGGGTTGCGGTTTCAATATTGTTAACTAATGATTTAAATGTAAACTCAATTTTTTTGCTTGTTAAAAGAAATAAAACACAAAACACGGTGTTCAAAATAAGCCGGCTTTAGGTCACTCTTGGACTAACACAACTCTGAGTTATTTTGACCTGGTGTCCTGTCAATTTTAGCTCCCGAGGCAGAAGTGGAGTAACAAGTAACATTTTAAAAGTGTATTGGTTTTATTGTCTGTTTGGATCAGTTAAACTTCGACATGTGTGTGTTAGATTTGCCGCAGAAAAGCTACGTTAGAGGACTGAATAGTTTGGATTGAATATTTGAGTTTATCGTTTTCTTTTGTATCACATCATATTTTATTTTATTTTGTTTCCATGTGTAGAATATGTTGTAACTTTGTTTAGAAAGGCACTGTAGAAATAAAATATCACTATATTATAATTGGAAATTCACACTGTGGCCTGTGATATTAGCATTAAATATTTAAGGCTATTTAATATAAAGATTTCAGTGTTTCCAGTCATTTCTCTCTTTTTTATAGTTGAGTCTTATTTGATATTCAGATCTGCGCCTGTGGAAATGAGCTCTGCCCAAATTCATTGAAATGAGTGAATAATGTTGATTGTACAGTGGGACATTATTCGATGGATAAATTGTCCTGTGGACATGTGCTCCCTTTAGTCAGAGCCTATTTGAGCAGAACACGTGTGTCCAGATAAACTACATGGATTCGTATAAATAAGATGAAATTGTACATAATGAAAGTATAAAGTGTGATCAGCGTGTGCAGACAGCACCAAACCTGCTGAGGTCAGGTTTGACTTTATTGGATCTTTACAACGGTAAATGAAAAAGCGTAAGGTCGCTTATTTCGACGGGGCAGCGCAAATCAAAAGACGTCATTGTGGATTTAGGCAGGAGCTCATTTTGATGGAGCAGCCCATTTCCACAGAACACCGGCAGTGTCAGGTTCTTATAATTCAACAAAGTTCTGTAGAAATCGTGGAGGCAGCAGTTATAGCGGCTAATCTGCAACCAGGGACCACCAGGGACCATATTTGGAAATCCCAGTGCGAAACCAAAGAACCAATCAGGAGAGAGAGTGCTGAAGGTAACGCCCCCTCCCGCCCAGATGTTAGTTTGGCAGGGAGTGGGTGCTTAGCAACACTGTCAATCAAACCTGCTAATGCTAGAAGCAGCCTGAGTGAATGAAGGCTCGTGATTGGTCAGTTATTAATGTTCAGATTTAGGAACAAAATAGATCAAAATCCAAAGCTCAGGATCAGGCGCCATGCAGAGCATTCAAACATCTGACAGTCAGAATGATGACTACCGGTCGCCCGTCTCTCTGTGAGCACTCTCACAGCTTGAAGGAACCACTTCGGATCCATGCTCACTTCCTGTTTGGCCCGCGGCGGCAGGTGCCTTCACTCTGTCCTTTTCTACATTTATATGATTTGAACCCAATTTTTCTTGGTTATTTTTTCAGATGAATTCTGGGTCCTGTGTAGCTCCTCTGCTGGGTTAACTCTACCCAGTACATGGGATTGTGGCTTTATTTAAATAAGTATTTAAATGTATTCTATTATTTAAATAATTGCAAATGCATAATTGCACATTAGTACTACCGCTACTACTATTACGGTTACTATTACTACTAATCCCTGTGTAATAATACTCCTCCCTGTTTTGATGCATGCTTTGGCACCTTCACTGCGAAACAGTTTGGTCCAGAGCCAGGACTCGGTTCTGGTCTGGACCAGTCGAACTGGATTTGTTTTACATGATGACAAACCAGGACTTAACCAGGTCTAAACCAGGACTGAACCAGTTCCAAACCAGGTCTAAATCAGGATTTAACCAGGTCTAAACCAGGTTTAAACCGGGTCTAAGCCAGGACGAAGCCAGGACTTAACCGGGACGAAGCCGGGACTAAACCAGGATTAAACCAGGATTAAATCAGGCATAATTAACCATTCAGAATCTGATTTGTTTTCATCTTTTGTTTCATTTATAAATAAGCCTTTTGTTTCTTTCAGATTTTTAAAATATTTTCTTAATTATAATTTAGCACTTTTAATGATTTTGGCCTTTATGTGACCTTTACTTTGAAAAGACCTGAGTTTGGGACAATTACATTTTCAGATTTTAATTTCCGAAGCTGTTTTTTTTTTTCTTTTCTTTTTTTTACTGTTCATTGCTGCTACAGTATAAAGATTTCAAGTTTAACCCAAGGCCTAAACATTATATTTAAGGAGCAGATAAATATTAGTATTAAATATTAGTATTAAATATTGCCTATATTGATACTAGAATATTCCTAATCCCTAATGATTGTGTGAACATGCAGCCATCTTTCAGCCTCATGTGTCTCCTGTTTCTGATGCTCTGAGACACACTAATGACACACACAGACTGAAGCAAGGCCAAAGATTATCGGTCAAAGCTTCGATATCAAACCAATATTGAATTTGTGGATAATCCTCCAATTACAGCACGTTTACACACACGGCAGGAAAACCACATCACCGGGCTGGTCCCATTTCACCAGAACCATCCAAATACAGTAAACCCGAGGACTACCACTGAATCTCCACCATCCAATAACACACATACTCACACCCCTGCTGCAGTAAGTGCTCCGTCTGATTTACATTAGGAGCAGATGGAAGAGGCATTCAACTGCACAAGGCAAGAAACAACAGACGGAGAATATTAGATTATATTATCTGTTTGGACGTTTACTCACTCGCTTTATATCAGGGGTGACGAGCTATGGCCTCTCCACCCAGCACCCGCCCGTGTCCTCGCCCAGCACCCGCCCGAGCGCTCGCCCAGCACCCGCCCGAGCGCTCGCCCAGCACCCGCCCGAGCGCTCGCCCAGCACCCGTCCGTGTCCTCGCCCAGCACCCGCCCGAGCGCTCGCCCAGCACCCGCCCGAGCGCTCGCCCAGCACCGCCCGAGCGCTCGCCCAGCACCCGCCCGAGCGCTCGCCCAGCCAGCACCCGCCCGTGTCCTCGCCCAGCACCCGTCCGTGTCCTCGCCCAGCACCCGTCCGTGTCCTCGCCCAGCACCCGTCCGTGTCCTCGCCCAGCACCCGTCCGTGTCCTCGCCCAGCACCCGCCCGAGCGCTCGCCCAGCACCCGTCCATGTCCTCACCCAGCACCCGTCCATGTCCTCACCCAGCACCCGTCCATATGCTCACCCAGCACCCACCCTGCACGTGTCGCTTTGTTTTGGTCTGCTCCAAAAAAGTGAAAGTGAAACCTGTTTGTGCGGCAGAGTAAAAAATTTAAATAAGGTGTGGCTGATCTGTTTCTGTCAAAGAAGCGGAAAATCTGCCAAAAGATCTGAACATTACTAACGGACTAATCGGGTGTCTTCATTGATAGGCGTTAGAGAAGGGGCGTTACTTTCAGAAGCCTCGCTCCTGATTGGCTCTTTTGTTGTTCTGATACTCGTATTTGGAATTACAAATATAGAACGGAGCCTCTGTAACTGCTAGTCTCGATGAGCTTCATTTGGAGCCCAACACTGTGGGTGATTGCACACTCCCGGTTCTGTCCCAGTTCAGTCCCAGTTCAGTCCTGGTTTTTGGATCTGTCCTTGTCTCTCCAACTCAAGGCTAAAATCACAACACTGGGCTGAATCCTTCACCAGATTCCTAATTTATTCCTCATTTATTTTCCTGACTTCCTGATGAGTCGCGGCTTTGGGTCGTTTAGTTTTGAACCATTTAAAAATATTTTGGGCTTAAACCAGATCAATCAGAGTGTCACTCTGATTTTAAATATTTTTTTACCTTTTCTTCATTTCAACAATGAATGTTTGAATTATGTTTCAAGAAACCAGGACTGGACCAGGACTGGACCAGAACTAGACTAAACCCAGTCTGAATCTGGCATGTTTTGTTGTTGTTTTTTGTTTCGTTTTACCCAGAACTTTTTTTTTTTTTTTTTCCAAATGCCATGACAGAATTCTTTTCCCCGGCAACAGATTTGAATTTAAATTTACTCCTCTGCCACTGGTTTAGACCCAGTTTAGGTCAGTTCTGTCTGAGTCCTGTTTTTAGACCTGATTTAGTCACTGGTTTTGTTCTGGTTCTGGTCTAGTCCTGGTTCAGACCTGGTTCAGTCCCTATGCTAGTGTGTTTTAGTCCTGGTTTAGTCTCTATTCAGTCCCTGGTCTAGTTCTGGTCTAGTTCTGGTCTGGTCCTGGTCTGGTCTGGTCCTGGTCTGGTCCTGGTCTAGTCCTGGTCTAGGTATGGTCTAGTCCTGGTCTAGGTATGGTCTAGTCCTGGTCTAGTGCTGGTGTAGTGCTGGTGTAGTGCTGGTCTAGTCCTGGTTTATACCTGGTTCAGTCCGGGTTTATTTGTATTCTCCTCAAATCTCGGCCTTTTTCAAAATTTCACTCCAGAATTTCTTATTTGGACCAAAATTTTCACCAGATCTCTCTTTCTCTCCCCCCTCCTCTCCTCTTTCTTGTCTCTATCTCTCTCCTCTCTTTCCTCTCTCACTCTCTCCTTCTCTCCTCTCTCTCTTTCCTCTAACCTCTAATTCCCCTCTGCGTCGCGGCGCTGCTCGGTGCCGTTGCCGTGGTTTTGGCTGCGGTTGCCACGGAAACAGGATTTGGTGCTGGTTAATTTTTTGGTTGGAGTTTTTTTTTTTTTTTTTTGCCTCTCTCTCTTTCTCTCTCTCTTCCCTCACTCCCTGTTTCTCTCTCTCCTCTCCCTCAATCTCTCTCCCTCTCTTTTTCTCTCTTCTTTCTTTTTCTGATTATTTCACATGTTTTGTTTTTTTTCTATTCTTTCATCTCTCTCTTCTTTCTTGTCGCAGATCGAGTCTCACCTGGAGATTATTACCCACAGTGCACTACAGCAACGCCGGCTTGCACTGAACCGTGATTGGCTGAGACGTGGGAGCGCCACGAGCTGATTGGACGAGAGCTTTTTGCCTGCAGTGAGTCACAAATGTTTCATTTGGGCAAATTTTTGTTTTGAAAAATATTGAATTATTTGTTCAATTTGAGGTGGAATTTTGGAAAAGACTAAACCAGGACTGAACCGGGACTGAACTGGGACTGAACCAGGGACTAAACCAGGTAAACCAGGACTGAACTCACTTTTTTTTGCTGTATCGGTAGATCATACCTGTGTGTCCTTGAGCAAGACACTTTGCACATGTTGTACTTTATTTCATAAACGGTTTGTTCTGTTCTTTTTCTGTCAAACTGTAACAAAATTAACCAAAAAACAGATATGGATGTTAAAAATAACATCAGACCCAAAAAAGACCCAAAGTCGCTTTGAAATCCACTGTCCATTTTTTAAAAAACTGATTCGGAGCAGTTCTACAGACTGGACTTTTCAGAGCTTTGAACCATGTTATAGTTTCTTGTTATCTTTCTTCTCATTGACCCTCTGGAGTTGGATTTGGCGTGAGCATGTTTGAGTCTTTGAATCTTTATTCTCTATATTCACGCCCCCTGTGACATACACACTTTCCTCTCCAGTTTCATTTTCTTCCTCAGTGATACACGTAGGATTCTGCAGCGCTGCCTCATCATTTTGCTCCAAATTACAAAAACCCTCTGCTCTAGTGTGATGTGCAGCTGTCCACAGAGGACCACAGCATGCGGCGCTTTGTTGTCATGACGTTTACGGCGACGTCAGCTCCCACAGTTTTCTAACGCAGAAGTCGGCGCACTTCTTTCTTTTATTAAGGTGTTATTTAAAAGTCCAGATTATAGATAATGATCCACAGGGGAACTAGGTCATTTGAAACAGATTGCACTGGTCCGTAGTTCTTCCTCACTTACCTTAAGCATTCTGAACATTCTAATTATTTACTGAGTTTATAAGCACTTTTCTCAACTCTCAGACCAAAGCGGAGTTTTAGCATGTGAACATGATTCTCGGGCAATAAACCATTTATAATTAAACACATACAGCACACAGTGGACTTCGTTTGACATCAAGAGCTGCTTATACAGTACATCTGTACTGGAGCAGGACACATTTTACTCAAATACATGAGACAAAGTCAGGTACAGGGACTTTAAAACTTCAATCTTAATTGATGTCATTTTAATTTTGTCTTAAATTCAGTATTTCTGTCTGTTTTTTTGACAGTTCCCTGATATCGAACAGTTTTGCTTCTGTAGGTGACTGGTATGTTTTATTCTGACTGTCCCTGGTTTATGGTTGTTTTATTTTGAAGGTGTTGATTACATTTTATGGTGTTTGGTAGATTAGTTTGATTTCGAAGGTATCTGGTATATTTTATTCCATAGTCCCCTGTTTCATGATAGCTTTATTGTGAAGGTGTCTGGTGCATTACTTTATTTTATTTTATTTTGAAGATTTAGTTGGTTTCTTTTTGTTTGTTTATTTTTTTGAAAGTCCCTGGTGTTTTATTTTGACGGCCCCCGTTATTGAATAACCTGTGTTAACAAATTTATTTTGAAGGCATCTAATACTTGATCATTTCATTTTTATGGTGTCAATCAGATGCTTTTATTTTGATGTTCCCTGGTATGTAATACTACTGTAGTTCTGAACAGTGTCCGTGTTAATACTTTTATGCTTAAGATACCTGGTGTATTTTATTCTGAAGATCTGTGGTATTTATGATGTAAGGTAGATTTGTTTTATTTTGAAAGTCCCTGGTATGTACTAGTTTTATTCTGAAAATGTGTGTATTCATATGAACCATTAGTAATAATAGTTGTATATTTCCTCGTGTGGGACATTTGGGACGACAGCTGGGCCTTTGTCCGACTCGTTCACACCAACAACACCCTCTCAGTTTAACACGGAACAAGTCCAGAAACAACAAAAGACTGTCTCTGTTTAGTCCTGCTTTAGTCCTGCTTAAGTACTGCTTAAGTCCTCCTTTGGTCCTGCTTTAGTATTGATTTAGACCTTGTTTAGACCTGCTTTAGATTTGCTTTAGACTTTGTGTAGTCCTGCTTTAGTCCTGGTTCAGATCTGGTGCTTTCCTCTGGTGAGTGTTTCTGCTCTGGGCACAGGGGGCGCTCTCTTTTTTGGCCATTTTTCTGTAAATATTTCGGTCTTTTCGTCTCATGGCTGAACTGGGAAACTGTTCCAACTGGACTCAGGCCAAGAAACAGATCTACATGAGACCAGGACTAGACCAGGACTAGACCAGGACTAGACCAGGACTAGACCAGGACTAGACCAGGACTAGACCAGAGTTGCTTGCTCGTTGTATCTTTCATATTTGAGAAGAGTTTTGGTTGGGTGTGTGTTCAGATCGGAGTGTTTGGCACACTCGCTCTATATTTGAGATTTGTGCCGAATTTGTTGAACATTTT